TATATATATATATATATATATATATATATATATATATAACAACATAACAATAGCTGTCTGGTGTGAATGATCAGTGAAAAAATAATTTTTTGGTATGCCACAGAATTTTGGTAACTAGTTTATGTGTGCCATGAGATGCAAAAGGTTAAAAATTGCTGTCCTAGTGAGCCTATTAATTTCAGGGGTGACATCCTGCAACAGTTCCCATCGCTTGAAGGATAAATCCAGAATTCCTTAACATGGGTGTGCAAAGCACCGAGCTGCTCACTCTGGCTTTCTTCACCCCTGTACCCCTGCCCAGCCCTTCATAACCCTCTCCATCCCAACCTCAGTCCCACATGCCCCTGAGGTTGCTGCTCCTTCAGCAGGGCATGACCTGTTCATCTCCACCCCTTTTCGTCATCATCTGATCTTAACCAGAAAGTAAGGTGCCCAAAAAATTTTAAATGACACCAAGGCATGAAAGTTACTTGAACCTCACATGACCATTTTCTCCTTTCTTTTTATCTATACACCTACCACTATATCTATTAGTGTTTCTAGAGGAGGTGGGGGGATTACAAAGGAATCAGACAGATAGTTGTAACTACAGCAAAAAAAAAAAAAAAAAAAAAAATCAGGAAATGGGGGAAGGGATTTCTTTCTGAACAAATCTCTCACCTATAAAATAAAAGGTTTAAATTATATGGCTGCCAATGTTTCTTCCTTGTGCTTTAATAAAGTGATAACTAACATGTGTTCAGGGTTTCCCAAGCTGATACTGTATCTTATGTAGTCCTGAAGACAACCATACAAATACTATTATTATCCTCACTTTATACAAGGAGAGAACTAAGATACAGAGAGACCAAGTAATCTGCCCAGTGTCACATAGCAAATCATATTTGAGCCCATGTAAGATGCTCCCCGTGCCTTCAGTCAACAGCTGTGCTTCCTTCCAGGCCAGTGGGCATCTCCCAGCATTCTGACACAGAAGGCTGAGTGGCCCAAAACCTGGGAAGAGCGCAGGGTTTTGAGCATCTGGTGCTGGCATCCATCCAAAAATCAGTGATTGGACAACAGTTAGTTACCTTGACTCGCAAATTGTTTCAATGTCTAAACGCTAATAGGTTTGGATCCCGGGAAGATGCTGCACTGTGGTTTGGTGTAAACTGTAAAAGCCATTGTGTCAGTGTTGACAACCAAGTAACAGTGAGGGGAGGGCACTTTTTAAAAATATAAAGTGTTTGGATTATAGAAAAGCACTTGGTTACCTTTCTAGAGAGCAAACCAAGGAACAGCGGGCCCAGAACTTTTTCTGAAGTTAAAAGGTTAAAAATAATAATAATAATAATAATAACCCCTTTCCCAATCCATCCTTAAGAATTACATTTTCCATCGAAGTCTGGTTCTCCTCCCTAGCAGATATAATCCTAATTAAAAATAAATTACATGCTGTATAGAACTTGAAATGGGAAAAGATAATCCTATTACATATGAAAATATATCCTGATTTTCTCGCCCGCTAAACTGTGGGAGACATCAGATCAGGCTGAGCCCGCCCTTTGTCGCCGCTTTGAAAACGCTTCCGAGCCCTAATCCGTCACGTGACGGCCGTGTCCGTCTCGGGGTCCGCACGCGAGTCCCACAAAGCGGGCTGCGGGCGCGGGGACAGGCACCCGCCCCGCGCTGGGAGCCGCGGCATTTGCATCCCGAGAAAATGCAGTCCATTGTGGGGCAGTGTTTGTTCTCAGCATTTCGAGACAGTTGCGAAGGAGGTAGTTAAAAAAAAAAAAAAAATTGAGAGAAAGGGGCTCCTCTGAGCCAGCCCAGGCCTTTGGTATGGTAACGAGGGGATGTGAGGGCCCTTTGTGGGCGGGAGCAGCGCGGGAGGCCGGCGAGCCCATCTCGCTGCCGCTCCGCTGGCCCTGCTTCCCGGGACCGTCGGCCTCCCCGGGGGGTCGCCGTGGGCCCGGGGCGCCATTCAAAACCCGCTTTCGTGCTGCGGAGGCAGCGGGCCGCGGCTCCCCCCCCCCCCCCCCCCCCCCCCGCCGCTCGCGTGCCTTCACACCGGCAGCCGCGGGAAGGAGAGGCCTCCGCGCCGGCCTCGGCAGCGGTCCGGCAGCCCGGCTCCCCCCGCTCCGGCTCCGCGCTCTCCTCCGGCCCCGCCCAGGGCTCCGCGCTCGCGGCTGTGGGATCCGAGCGGCCCCGGCACCGGCAGAGGATAACGGGCTTTGGACCTGGGGCTTACCGCCCACACCCTACTCCCCCGGTCTGCACACTCCCACCCTCCACTCGCTCAAAACTCGCCTGGTTATTTCAGTCTCGGGAATGTGGATGGTGGCATGGAACTGTTTTTGAAAAATGTATTAAAAGGTAGTTCCGATTCTCCCGCCGAATGAATGAATGAATGAATGAATGAATGAATAGCGCTGAGCTCCCACGGTCCAGTCCAGAACTGAGGCGCAGGAGGCATAGATATGGGTCCGGCTCGCAGCGACCCGTGGCCGGGCTCTTGACAAGGGCCTAGCCATGGAAACAGCATCAGACACCTGTTCTCCGGGACCATAGCCCCACGGCCCTCTCTCTCCTTCCCCTCGAGTTCTGCGCTCAGCAGCAGCCGTGGAGTGTGGGCCTGACTCTCGGAGTAAAGCGAATAGCAGAGGAGAAGCCGCTGTCAGGCTGCCGAGTTCTGAATATGCTCTGGTCTGGGTGAAGATGGAACAGGGGTGAGGAAAAAGGCGGGACCCTGGGAGCGCCAAGCTCACCAGCAGGCCAGGTGGGAAAGTTGCCGGGTTTAGAAAGAAGACAAAGTTCTTTGGGCTGCGCAGAATCCCAAAGAAAGAGGTGTGTCTTGGGGGGGGGGGGCGAGGAGAGAGAGAGAGAGAGAGAGAGAGAGAGAGAGAGAGAGAGAGAGAGAGAGAGATTAAAAGGCAATTGGTAGGGGGAAATGGTGGAAGAGATGGCCTGACAATTAGGCTCCTGGAGGGGCGTCTTCTTTCCATGTCCTGACCCTGCGCGGTTGGCCTGGCCTCCTTGCTTTTAGTATTTCAAGGCTGCAAAATGAAAAAGGTGGGAAAGGGAACGGAGAGGCAAAGGAAATCCCCAACATCCACCGCCCACCCCCAATCTCATAATTTTTTTTTAATTGATGGTTAGGGCTGCATATTTTGCTCCCTGGCAACTCCAAGCACCTCCTTTATCCTCCACAACCCCCACTGTCTACCCAGGTCCCTGCTTGGTCTCCTTCTCTGAGAAGACTCCTGTATCTTTTCTGGGAAAAACAAAACAAAACCAACAAGAACAACAACAGGACACATTCCCTCGGGTTTGAGATAGGAATCTGAGAACAGGACTAAAATCAGGATTCAAAAGATTATTTATTGAAGAAAATTTGCTTATCAAATCCAACGCCCTTTAAAAAAAAAAATCTTCCAGTGTGTGACTTTTGCTGTTACCTTTCCCCTTTCTAGCATATTTTCATGGCCTGCTCATAAAGCTCTTCAACAAGAATGAGCAAGAATTCCTCTTGTTCCAGCTTGGAGACCCATCTTCCTGATCTTTAGGGAAATTTAGGGTGGGGATGATACCTGTGGGGGGCAGCCATACCTGACCAGCCCAGTTTGGCAATGCGGAAGCTCAATACTTTCCTAGGCAGATGGTTATGTTCCCCAGGTTTCAACATCACGCTGTGATTTTGTTCTTCTGGAAGGGGATGTTTCTTCCCAGAGCGGCCCTATTAGAACAAGAAAGAAAATCCTCTAAATAGGCGGAACAAGGCATCAGGAGGGAAAGTTCTCTAAATGCACTTTAATATGAGCCTGGCATTGTGTGGAATTCAGCGCCCTTTACCCTTTAGCCGGAGAGTTATAGTGGTGATTGGGGATGAATAGGGGAACATAATGGATACATGTGGCGTTTGCTCATTATATTCCAGTTAGCCAGACTCCACTGTGGAAACTGTTCAACGTCCTCTCCCCTTAGCTTGTCACCGTGAAATAATACAGACATTGGGCCCTCCGAAGGGATCTCCTGCCACGCCATTCTATTTCCAGTGCTAACGAGGGCTTCATAAGCCTTTGATACAGACTGATCTTTGAAACCTTTCCAAATCTCCTCAAGCTTATGCTAAATCCTATTTGGAACTTTTTCCCTTGCCTACTTAGCGCCCAGGATTTAAGAAAGCCATTTGGACAGTGACATGCATGCTAACACATCGCGGGGGTTCTTTTCTGAAAAAGAAGTGGCAACTCTGATCGCTGGGGCTCACAGGAGCAAGACACAATTGCGTATACAAATTTGAATAAAATCAATTTTCCCTTCTCCTTTGGGCTCCTAATCGAGAAGCTATTCAGGGCGCCGTGGGAAGCGGGGAGAGGAGGCGAGCCAAGCCTCGCCGGGCAGAGCCAGTCTGTGAAGAGAGGGCTGCAGGCGCTCGGAAGCCTCGGAGGTGCAAAACGCAGGGAGTGGGTGGGGGGTCCTGAGCCGCCACGAAGAAATCCCAGCGCGTTCACGCTTAGATCAAGCAGCCGGCACCGGAGGGAAACAAAGAACAAAACCTGTGATAACTCCTCTAACGCGCGGAAAAGGAAAAAGCAAAAGGAGTTAAAAGAAACAAAGGAAAGATTTCCTAATTTTCCTCTCTTGTTTTCCCTCTAAGCCTTTCCACATTAAAGGGATTGTCGGAGGCTGACGTAGGAGCAAGCGCGAGGACGCGGTGGCCATTGGCTGCCTGGCTCTGGTGATTTGCATATCGGCGGCTATAAAAGCGGAGGCGGCGCGCGGCGGCGCAGCAGCAGCCGCTGGAGGAGGGAGGGAGGTGTGCAGAGTGAGGGCGGGTCCGCGGGTCCGCCGCGAGTCCTCAGAGCCCGCCGGAGCCTGGAAGCTGCAGCCGCCAGACTTCTCCCACACGGAGCTGGCAAAGAGCGTGCTCCAAGGAGCCCGGGGCTCAGGTCCGGACCTGCAAACCAGAGAGGAATCTTCTCTTCAGCCTTTTGGAATAGAACTTGGGGGCTGGCGGCATGAGTCCAGTAAGGCGCGGGGGTAGACCCCGCCTTTTACCTTTGCAGCTCTTTAGCCTCTGCTGGGTGCTCTCTGTGGCCCAGAGCAAGACGGTGCGATACAGCACCTTCGAGGAGGACGCTCCTGGCACGGTAATCGGGACTTTGGCTGAGGACCTACATATGAAAGTGTCCGGAGACACCAGCTTCCGCCTGATGAAGCAATTCAACAGCTCGCTGCTACGTGTGCGTGAGGGTGATGGGCAGCTGACCGTCGGGGATGCGGGCCTGGACCGCGAGCGGTTGTGTGGCCAGACCCCGCAGTGCGTGCTGGCCTTCGACGTGGTCAGTTTCTCGCAGGAGCAGTTCCGGCTGGTGCACGTGGAGGTCGAGGTGAGGGATGTCAACGACCACGCGCCCCACTTCCCACTGGCCCAGATCCCCGTAGAGGTGTCCGAGGGCGCGGCCGTGGGCACACGCATCCCCCTGGAGATGCCAGTGGACGAGGACGTGGGCGCCAATGGGCTGCAGAGCGTGCACCTGGCCGAGCCACACAGCCCCTTCCGCGTGGAACTGCAGACTCGAGCAGACGGCGCCCAGTGTGCCGACCTGGTCCTGCTGCAGGAGCTGGACCGCGAGAGCCAGGCCGCCTACAGCCTGGAGCTGGTGGCCCAGGACGGCGGCCGCCCGCCGCGGTCCGCCACGGCCGCCCTTAACGTGCGTGTGCTGGATGCCAACGACCACAGCCCGGTCTTCCCGCAGGGCGCTGTGGCCGAGGTCGAGCTGGCAGAGGACGCGCCCGTGGGCTCGCTGCTGCTGGACCTGGACGCGGCCGACCCTGACGAGGGCCCCAACGGCGAAGTCGTGTTCTCCTTCGGCGCCCGCACCCCGCCCGAGGCGCGCCGGCTCTTCCATCTCGACCCGCGCTCGGGACGCCTCACCCTCGCGGGACCCGTGGACTACGAGCGCCAGGACACCTACGAGTTGGACGTGCGGGCGCAGGACCGTGGCCCGGGGCCTCGCTCGGCCACCTGCAAGGTCATCGTGCGCATCCGCGACGTCAATGACAACGCGCCGGACATCACCATCACGCCCCTGGCCGCCCCGGGCGCGCCTGCCGCCTCGCCCTTTGCTGCCGCCGCCGCCGCCGCTGCCGCTGCTCTCGAGGGGACGGTCACGACCTCCTCGTCTACCGGGCCCGGGACCCCGGAGGCCGGCGCTGTCTCTCTGGTGCCAGAGGGGGCGGCGCGCGAGAGCCTGGTGGCGCTGGTCAGCACCTCGGACAGGGACTCGGGCGCCAATGGGCAGGTGCGCTGCGCCCTCTATGGGCATGAGCACTTCCGGCTGCAGCCGGCCTACGCGGGCAGCTACCTGGTGGTGACCTCTGCATCCCTGGACCGTGAGCGAATCGCCGAGTACAACCTGACGCTGGTGGCCGAGGACCGCGGCGCGCCTCCGCTGCGCACCGTGAGGCCCTACACGGTGCGCGTGGGCGATGAGAATGACAATGCGCCGCTCTTCACGCAGCGGGTCTACGAGGTGTCCGTGCGCGAGAACAACCCGCCCGGCGCCTACTTGGCCACGGTGGCTGCCCGGGACCCGGACCTGGGCCGCAACGGCCAGGTCACCTACCGGCTGCTGGAGGCGGAAGTGGGCCGCGCTGGGGGCGCCGTGTCCACCTACGTCTCCGTGGACCCGGCCACCGGGGCCATCTATGCGCTGCGCAGCTTCGACTACGAGGCGCTGCGCCAGCTCGACGTGCGCATCCAGGCGAGCGATGGCGGCGTCCCCCAGCTCTCCAGCAGCGCCCTGGTGCAGGTGCGAGTGCTGGACCAGAACGACCACGCGCCGGTCCTGGTGCACCCGGCGCCGGCCAACGGCTCCCTGGAAGTGGCAGTCCCGGGGCGCACCGCGAGGGACACGGCCGTGGCGCGTGTGCAAGCCCGGGACGCGGACGAGGGTGCTAACGGGGAGCTGGCATTCGACCTCCTGCAACAGGAGCCGCGAGAAGCTTTCGCCATCGGCCGCCGCACGGGGGAGATCGTGCTCACGGGCGATCTGTCCCAGGAGCCCGTAGGCCGCGTGTTCCGGGCGCTGCTGGTCATCTCCGACGGCGGCCGTCCCCCGCTCTCTACCTCTGCCACCGTCAGCTTCGTGGTGACAGCAGGCGGCGAAGGGCGGGGGGCCGGAGCGTCCGCCGGCGCCGGGAGCCCCGAGCGCTCTCGCCCGCCGGGTTCTCGGCTCTCAGCGTCCGGGTCGGCGCTGCAATGGGACACGCCACTGATCGTCATCATCGTGCTGGCCGGGAGCTGCACGCTGCTGCTGGCCGCCATCATCGCCATCGCCACCACCTGCAACCGGCGCAAGAAGGAGGTGCGCAAAGGGGGGGCCTGCCGGGAAGAGCGGCCCGGGGCGGCGGGCGGCGGCGCCTCGGCTCCCGGCTCCCCGGAGGAGGCCGCCCGGGGAGCCGGGCCCAGACCCAACATGTTCGACGTGCTCACCTTCCCTGGCAGCGGCAAAGCGCCCTTTGGTAGCCCCGCGGCCGACGCGCCCCCGCCCGCAGTCGCGGCCGCCGAAGTGCCGGGCGCGGAGGGCGGCAGCGTCACCGGGGAGAGCTCCTGTCACTTCGAGGGGCAGCAGCGGCTCCGCGGCGCGCACGCCGAGGTGAGGCCCTCTGCGGCTGGGCGCCCCGCTCCGTGCTCCACGGACAGGCTGGGGGAAGCCCCTGGAGGGGTCTGGGTGGGCGTGCCAGATAGATGCCTAACCTGTCACGTTTTTTTTTTTGTTTGTTTGTTTTGTTTTGTTGTTCCTTGCCCAACCCTCTCCCCCATTCTCCCATCCCCTGCTGCAGCCCTACCGCGGCGCCTCCGGCTTCGGAGCGGAGCCGGCGCCCCCTGTGGCGGTGTGGAAGGGACATTCTTTCAACACCATCTCTGGCCGGGAAGCGGAGAAGTTCAGCGGCAAAGATAGCGGCAAAGGGGACAGCGATTTCAATGACAGCGACTCCGACATCAGTGGGGACGCCCTGAAAAAGGACCTCATCAACCATATGCAAAGTGGTGAGGACTCCTCTTTCCCTCCAAGTTCAGCATTCCTCCTCTCCCTCCCTCCCCGTTTGACACTCATTCCCTTCTCTCAATCTCTGTTGCCCACGCCACTCCCTCTTCCCCACTTTTCTTAGTCCTGGAGTTCCAGACTCCAGCAGGCCCCACACAATGAATTTTAAAACGCAAGGTTGAGGCAGCTTCACCGTTTGAATTAAGCTCAGCCCCACCCTGGTAGGCAGAGGCAGGGGTGATGCTAGTGACCCACCCAACCCGGCTTTTCTTTTTTTTTGAGGTGGGGTAAGGCTTTGGCTTCCAGCAAAAGAAGCTGAGCCAACTTGGAGTTAGGTGGCTTTACAGCAATGTTCCTTTCAAATCTTCAGTCACTGGCATTCATCTTCCTACAGGTTTTCCTTTGCAGCCACCCTAAGCCTGTCTGACATCCTGAAGATGGAGGCATACCAGTCTCTGTAATATTCATGCTCTCTCCCTCTCTCTTTTATATTAGGACTGTGGGCATGCACGGCTGAGTGCAAGATCCTGGGCCACTCAGACCGCTGCTGGAGCCCATCGTGTGGAGGGCCCAACACCCAGCCCTCCACACACCCACCAGCCCAGATGTCAACCTTCTGTAAGAGCACCACACTGCCTCGGGATCCTCTGCGCAGAGACAATTACTACCAGGCCCAGCTGCCCAAGACAGTGGGGCTGCAGAGCGTCTATGAGAAAGTGCTGCACAGAGACTATGACCGGACAGTCACCCTGCTCTCCCCTCCTCGTCCAGCGAGGCTGCCAGACTTGCAGGAGATCGGGGTACCCCTCTACCAGTCCCCACCTGGCAGGTACACATCCCCAAAGAAAGAAGCTGATGAAAATGTGTAACCCCACGCTGCATGTCTTCACACACATATACAGGTCATTCTGAGAAGCCCCTAAGTTATTGACCGGTTTCAGTGTTGTATATATAAATATGCAAGATGTGCCTTAAAATGAAGTTGTTGGGAGCTATTTCCAATCACATTAGTACTGTTTGGTATTTGCAAACAAAACAAATGTAGTTAATGTAATTTTTATGAAATGTGTGCTGTATTTAATTTTTCTTATCATGCTATTGACTTTTAATTTCACTTGCAGCTTGACATTTTCTTAGTGTTTTTAACCTGTACATTGTGTAATGTAATGTTTGTATATAATAAAATTTTGTTATATTTTTATATAATAAAAGCTAAAGTGGAAGTTATTGCCAAAGGAAATGTCTGTAAGACAAAAAAAAAAAAAAAAATGTTGGAATTCCTTAATGGAAATTTGTCTTTTACCTAAAACAATCTAGTGTTTGAGAAGTTTTGCCTTGCCAAGTATAACTTGTATATCTTGAGTCTGTGGTAGATTTCAAGTTCAATGTTATTTAATTACATTTGGTTTTCTGTAAACCGTGTCACCCATAAGCACAGTAATAAAGGATTTGTCATGTGTTTGAGGAATCTGCTAATTGCTTTTTGTGAAGATGCCTGTAGTCAGTTACTCACAAAATTAAATCTCAAGAAAAAAAAAATGGAAAAATAAAACGAAAATAAAAAAAAATTTAAACCTCAGATGGGCTGATTATTTGGGCACTATTAATGTTCACAGCAATATTAAACCTGTGGGATTCAAGTATTGGAAAACCTCATCAAGATATTAAAAAATATTTGTTGATTTTGTAAAACATGTGCATCTCCATAAACATTAGGAACTCTAAAAAAAATTCCTGCCCTTGCTTATTCACTCAACAAATATTTATAGTGCATCTACCATGAAGTCAAAGAAAACTGGACTGTTCATTCACTAAATTAAGCAAACCTTAGTAGAGCTTTTACTAACCAGAGTAACTACTAGGAACTGGGGTTCAAGATTAGGAAAATATAGTCCCAAGAAGCTCTTAGCATATTATGGATATTAATATAAAAAAGACACTCAAATTTATGTGTGAAAAAATGCTCAGAATCTGCTTTAAAATTTGCTAAATGAAATGAGATTGATAAAATATTGATAACTGTCAATGCTAGCATGGGTACATGTGTGTAGGGATGGGGGTAACTATACCAATCTATTTGTGTGTTTGTGTTTGAAAGAGTACATAGTGGAAGGTTTTTGAGATCTATGCCTTATACTCTACACATTCATTTCACTTGAGATTAAAATGATAATAATGAGAGCTAGCATTTACTGAACAAGCTTTCATATGCGTGAAGCTCCTTACAAAGCACTCTGCACGAACTATCTCATTTAATCCTCAAGTCTATCCCCAGGAGATGGGAACTATCTTACTCTTCATTTCACAGATTAAAAACAAACAAATGACAAAACCAAAACCAAATGACAACAAAAAATAGCCACTGTGAAATTAGGTAAAATGCCAAAAGTCACACAGATAATAAGTGGCCAGGATTATTCCAGACAATAAAATAAAATGAAGCAACTAAAGTTTTTTGTTTTGGCCCTGGACAGTGTGACTCAGTTGGTTGGGTGTTGTCCCCTGCATCAAAAGATGCACATGCCTGGGTTGTGGGCTAGATCCCGGGTAGGAGGAGTGCAGGAGGCAGCTGATCGGGTTTCTCTCTCTCCCTGTCCCCCTCTCTAATAAAACAACAAAAAATAATTAAAAGTTTTTTGTTTTGTTTTGTTTTGTTTTAACTTGAAAGAAACAAAGTGTTAGGTGATACGGTCCCAATGCATTGCCTTTACTGCCTGGTTATTGTTTAGCCCTTTATATTTATGACGTGCCTGTGTTCCTTTATTACTAATTATAGAGTGAGGCACTGTAATGAACAGAGGAGCCCTCGAAGCTGCCTGTTGAAGTCATAATTAGAACCAGTGGTGGCTCCAAGCTGAGCAGCAGGGCAGGCACAAACAAGTGCTTCGCCCCCCACGACCTAAGAAAAGTCTGGTGGTTTTCTACATGCAAGTGAACTGATTTGGGAAGCTCAGAGAAACTCAGACTGCCCAGGCCTCAGGTTCCAAAAGAAAACATTGGATGTGGCCATGTTATCAGACAATTCTGGAACCTGATGACCGATCCCTGGGGAGCGGAGTCCCATTCTTATATATAAAGCTCGCCCAGCTAGTGTGGCTCAGTAGTTGAGCATTGACCTAACATCTAAAGCTTTATTCTTGGGCAGTCCCATCATCGCAGAGCAGGAGAATGAATAATCCCACACTGCAGTCTAAAAGTGTCCAATCTCTGAAGGTGTGTGCCTGCTTCAGACCTTCAAAAGTAAAATAATGTCATTGTCATTATTTTACTTTGTACTGTGGAAGCTATTTCGTTATTCCAAATTTTAGGTTTGCAAAACCTCTATGGTTTCATTGTCATAATTTCCCTTAGAGAAATGGCCATTAAATTACTTTGTTTTTGCTTGGGACTTAAAAAATATCGAACACACTATTCAGTACTTAAAAAGTATTTTCAAAAACATAATAAAAGAGGGGGTGCATGAGGCTCTTCTCGTCTAGCGGTCGGCAGCAGGAACCCTCAGGGAAACAGGAGCTGTATAAAAGAGGCTTTCTGTTTTTCTCCAAAAATGTTTATTATCAAGTACATTTTTAAAAAACTTATTTCTTTATTAAATTGAGATAATATATGTGCAGAAAACATAGGACAATGCCTGGCCTCTAGGTATAGTCATTAGATTCTCTTTTCCTCTTTCCTTTTCTTCCTTTGGAGCCAGTCTTTACCAGAACTCCAGTGCAGCCCACCCACTAAGTAAGATGAAACAGATTGAGGAAGCCTGGCCTTGCTCTGACACTGGTTTATTCTCTTTACTTCTTCCACTTTCACTCATTTATAGTCAACACTGTACAAACAAGTGTGCTAAAGTAAACACTACAGGCAAACTCACCAGGCTTAGACTATTATGATGAAACCACAAATACCTATTTGGAGATACTGACAACCTTTGGGCACTTCGACTGTGAGCATTGGGACATGGGAAGGCCCTTGGAGAAAAGGGAGGTCACCTTGAAAAAGAAACCTAAAGCCAGACTCTATTTCCTATTTTTATGTCTGGCCCCATTGTCTTGGATGTCCTATTATACTTATAATAAAATATCCATCAAAGAAAATACTTCAAAACTTAAAATATAAGTGGTTTCAACATCTATTAAAATTCATTGTAAAACAGAGCAAAAATAGGATGTATATATCTAAATACAAATATATATGCACTTGGAGAGAAAATATGAAACATATACACTGAGTGGCCAAATTATTATGATCTTTGAATGCATAATAATCTGGCCACTCGATGTATATCCTATATAATAAAAGGTTAATATGCAAATTGTCCCCTAGACCAGGAGTTCAACCAGCAGGCAGGCCGGCCAACTGCCCATGTTCCCTCCCCCTGACCAAGCTGACCAGACCCCACCCATGCATGAATCCATGCACAGAGCCTCTAATCCTATCTAATAAAAGAGTAATATGCAAATTGATCATGCCTCTGGTACACAAAGCCACACCCACCAGCCAATCAGGAGTGAGTATGCAAATTAATCCAACCAAGATGACTGCAGCCACAGAGAGAGCAGGAAGCTTGGATTTCCCCAGCAATGGAGGAAGCCAAGCTTTCAACCTGCTCTGGAGGGCCAAGGCCTCCACTCAAGGTTACAAAATTTCAATTATAGAAAATAAATAAATCCCAGATCCCAGGGTCTCTGCTTGAGTCACTGGGGGGTGTGGCCTGCCTGCAAACCACCACAGGCTCCTCACCCAGGTTGTCCCATGCCCCAAGGGAACCCACACCCTGATCCAGGACACCCTTCAGGGTAAATCATCTGGCCCCCACCTGTGTACCAGGCCTCTAGCCTACCTAATCCTATCTAATAAAAGAATAAAATGCAAATTGACCATCACTCCAACACAGAAGATGGTTGCCCCCATGTGGTCAAAGATGACTACCCCCATGTGGAGATAAGATGGCCACCACAAAATGGCCATTAGGGAAGGACAATACGGAGGCACCAGGCATGCAAGGGAGGACAGTTGGGGATGACCAGGTCAGCAGAGAAAGTAAGTTGAGGCGACCAGGCTGCAGGGAAGGGCAATTGAGAGGGACTCAGGCCTGCAGGGGAGAGCAGTTGGGGGTGACCAGGCCTGCAGGGGAGGGCAGTTAAAGGAAAACAGGCTGGCAAGGGAGCGGTTAGCCATCAATTAGGCTGGCATAGGAGTGGTTAGGGGGTGATCAGGCTGGCAGGCAGAAGCATTTAGGGGCAATCAGGAAGGCAGGCAGGCAAACAGTTGGGAGCCAGCAGTCCTGAATTATGAGAGGGATGTCCGACTGCCCTCAAGGGGTCCCAGATTGGAGAAGGTGCAGGCTGACACCCACCCCCATGCACGAATTTTGTGCACCGGGCCTCGTGTGTGTGTGTGTGTGTGTGTGTGTGTGTGTGTGTGTGTGTGTATTGAGTGGCCAGATTATTACGCATTCAGAGATCATAATAATCTGGCCACTCCATATAAAATGAGGATGAGTTCCATGGTATAATTAGCTACATATCTGGCTTATTTCACTTGGCAAATATAAGCTTTTATAATTTAAAAATTCCATTTTAGTAAACAAGCATATTAACTTTAGTGAATTCAGTAACAATAGGATAATTGGAATGCTGTAAGTTTTGAAAGCAAACAGAAGCAAAGTAATACAATACTCAATAGGCACTGTGCTTTGCAACAGCTCAAAAGGATTTTGAAAATACTGTTTAGTTTTCAATAGCTATGCAGTAACTCAAGAGAGTATTTATTATTCCCTTTCTTCAGAAAAAAAAAAAATCTTCAAGGCAATTTACCCACGGTTCAAAGTCATCTAAAATGTGAATAGCATGTAGGAAAAGACAACAGGCAATAA